CTATCACATATGTGTGATCCAGTGTATTAGTTGGAAACATCTTCATTAGCAACTGAGGCTACTCATGTTTTCATTATTAGATACTCATCCATTTGGTGGGTGAAACTCTTTCCATATGGAAAAGCCTGTGTATTTGATGTAATATGATAAGCCTCATCAGTCAATTTACACAAAATACATAGAGGCTTAATTGCTTCATCTTTTACTAAGATATCCTTTTCATTTGCTTGTGTTGTTTTCTGGGGAAGAAAAATTATAAACAAATGAAAGACTTTGTGGGAAAGAGGAGGGCAAGTGCTGTGGAGGTGTAGAAAAAAGAGAGTAGATAGGTGGTGAGAGGGCTTAAAAAAACAAACTTCTCTCATAATTTGGGCTCAACCTTCACTACCTAAAAGAACATCTTCACTGGAAAAGTGAGAAGTACATGTCAAACTACTCATGTAGATTGAAAGACATGCCTAACCTCAACTACTAGAGCCAGTTCTTTCATACAACCTACAGATATAGTAGGTATTCACAGATTAAGTGAATTGTTCTTGTTGGATTATTATGTAAAGTCATATGATGGGTAATATGTAAGGTCCTTAATAGCATTAGCTAAGTGATGCTCCAATACCCTCTCTAATAGTTCAGGGCACAATTTGTAAAACGTCCCGGTGAGAACACATAACATTTTCTGAATAGAGCCTGTCTAGAGAGCTGTAGATACTTTTCAGATTTAGGAATTCAGGTAGAATCTTATTTTAACAACTTGAATAGAAGTCAAAATTGCTATATTGAATACAAATCTCATTAAGTTTACTGCTACAGAGTATGAAGGGATATACTGTTTATTGAGGGTTTTTTATTTGTTTACATAAAACAAGTGTTAGGTGTGTGCTGTGTCTGCAAACAATAACAAATGGAAAAGATGTAAAAGAGGATATTCTTGCCAGTTCTAAGGAAGTACCTAAAATTATCTCTTCTGCAGTAGCTATATTTAAATGCAATATAAGATGTTCTTAATATGGTTTGTATGTTTTTCACAATGTTTTAGTAGTGATGGAGACAAGGACAAAATTTATTTCATAATTCTTCTATTTTTAGCACTGTGTCTTAGGCAATAGCCTGGTAGACACTTCTAAACAGAATTAGTTGTTTTATGTTTTACATAGATAGTTCAAAAATAATAAGGAAATATGCTTATAGGGTTATCATCTAGAGTCATAGAAAGTTGATCACTAAACTCCATTCCCAGTTTCATTGTGTTTCACTCTCCAAAGACATTGACAATCCACTGCCACTAGCTCTACTGATAAGTTTCACTAATTTGGAAGTTACACCAATGAACTACTCTTATGAGAAATACCTGCTTTGCCTTGACCTGTATCTATACCCAGACTTTATATTTTTATTCCCTCTAACTTTCTAGATCTCCCCTAAATGTAATAGAGGTTTGAGCACCACAATTCAAGTTTCATTCATTGGTAACCCTCATACACACACACACACACACACAGCACACACACACAACCTCTAACAGTGCATAGGATACTCAAATTTTATCCACATGACATGTAGCATTAAGTTTATGCAGATATGCAGAGATTTAACCTCAGATTTTACAGTTAATTCCAAAAGAATAATGTTTCTGAAGACTGCATTTCAGTTTTCAGCACAGGGAATCTTGTTCATCATCGGCCTTGCCCGTGTTCAAACTTTCAGTAACCAGAGTGAAAAGGAGGACTCAGAGAAAACCCAGCTGGAACATGGGAACTTTGAGAGTGCCTTTGGGGTAAATGAGCGCATTCATTGTCTCACAGAGGATGTAAACAAGACATACCCCACTCTGTCCCCTTTTTTTGCTACCTGTCCATTCTCTCTGTGTGACGGAAAGCAGAGTCTTGCCTTGAGAAGGAATGAGATATTTAGTACTCAAAAGACTGGTAGAGTGTGCTTGTCTCTTATTCTTCATAAATAGCTTCTTCCAGCTATAAACTTAGAAATATAAAACTTAGAAGACAAGACTTACATTCTTTATAATCAACAAAATCATTTTGTCACAGTTTACTTTCTTCTTTTCTACTCATCATACTTCCAAACCTAAGATAAGTGAACAGACTATGAAGAAATAGAAATAGAAATCTGTTCAACCTATGCTTTCTTTGTCTGAATTTTTCAACAGACCAAAAAGAAAAGCTATGAGCTTCAAGAAACCAGGCAATAAACATGAAAGTCTGATTCTCAAGGAGAGTATGGTTTCAGTGAAACAGAGGAACATGGGCAGGTGTGTCTATGGTCAGCTTAAGTATATTCCCTACTTCTCTTTAAATGTATCTAGAAGATATTTATCTGAAAGAGAAAATGGGGAGACTTGCAACTCTGAATAACACAAGGGATGATTTATGCCAAAAGACACTGAGTGTGATATGGGGGTCAGATGCAATGTAGAGTAGCAGAGAGGTGCTAAAGAGATAATTAACAACTATGTTCTAAATAAAAGTTAGATTTTGGAAAAGATGGGACTAGAATCTGAAGAAGGGACCTGGGGTAATAGGAAGACAACACAGTGTAATAGAAGTAGTCCTTAGTACAGCTACGTCAATGACAAGATAATTAATTGGCACTGAAGAGTTTTGACTTTTTTTTTTAAGTCTTGCTGTAGTAGTTCATGGTTTATGAGAAAAAAAATGGAATGCATTTTAAGTTGTATTCTAAATCTGTAGATTTGTATGTATAAGTAACCATACACCTGTTTTGTAATGAAGATATGAAAAGATAATTGTTTGCTTTTTGATTCATCAATGGTTGATCTAAATCCAATTAAATGACAAGATGAACATCTCTGTGCTTTCCTAAAAAATAATGTCCAGAGGTAACACTGTATTATAATATTTTATAAGTTTTAGGTGTTCATCATTGAGCATTGACACAATTCTCATGTGTATATTCTACATTGAATTCACTACAAAATGTCCAAGTCAGAAAAAAATAATGTCCACTAGTCAGTACGTGATTGCTTCAAGCAATTCAAGTTTAATACTTATATCAGTTACCACTTGGCACGATAGTGCTGTGTGCATTCATGCATTGTGCTTTCAGAAATAAGCATTCACTTTCCTATTTATGGATTTTCAAGTTAATTGTGTCTTGGGGATGGAGGCTAGGCACAGCCATGTGGCTATGTATCTGGCTGACTGTCAGGTGGGTTGGTTTTAGGCTGCCATTTGCATTCAGATTGGCTTTATGTTCATGCTGCATCCAACCTTCAGAGGCAAGAAGTGTTATTCTCATACAAGAGAAAAAGTTCAGAAAAGAGAGCTAAAATAGATGAGGACCACATGAGTGAAGGAGCTTAGAGTACTACACAGCAAAGAGTAAGTAGATTAAGGACTCTTTATAAGTATACTTTTGAAAAGTTATAAGCATTTGGTACTTACTAAATTCTTAAAATTGAAGGTATGTTTTTCATATTTACACTTTCCAATCTAAATATAGGAATCGAAATATTTAGATTTCCAATCTAAATACAGAATTTCTTTGATCCTGCAAAATGTCTAATAATCACCATTCTAATTTCTAATCTATCATGACTTTCTTGAGGTTTGGCACAGTCAGTTTTGAGGATTCATGGCCCGTCATCTCAGATAAACTTTTAACAATAACGAAGAACATTCGGCATCTTTTACCTCACCACAACCCCCTTAGCATCACATGACTGCAGTGTAAGCAAAATGAGGCCAGAAAAATTCTGATCCATGGAGACTTGAAGCCTCAAATATCTCTTCTTTGTAAAATGAAGACCCTGAGATGTGGGAAATGTGACTTCCCTTATTGCTCATGAGATAGGTTAAGTATTTAGAATCACCAGTGAAAGGGAATCTTAAGATGCTTATTATCTGAGAAATATCAATCAATACTTCACTTTGTGGTTTCTGAGCATGATTAAGTTCACTGCAGCCAGGTGAAACACATCCTAGTTCACTTGTGAGTCACAAAGCAGAGTGCATAATTCACTCATCTCCTCAAGGTCACCTCTAAATTCCTCTCTCCTTTGTCACTTAAAATAGTGTAGATGGGTATAGAAGCCAAAAACTTACTGAACTAATAGCTCATTAAAAACAGGGTAGCCTCTGCTTCTGCACATGGCTCTGAAAAATACAACACATCCTATCCCTATGACCCCAAATTGGTTGCAACTTGGAAAAATGGTTTAAACATATTTGAAATCTTATTGTCTAACATTATTCATTTAACATGATTGCCCTACTTAATACAAAGGCAAAAGAGCAATTTCTGCATTAAATAAAATTATTAAAAGGCAGTTACTTGTTAAAGCATTTCATTCACTTTATCAAGAGCAATGAAGTGATCTTAATATATGCAAGACTATTTTTCCATTTATTAATATAAAATCTATCTTTTCTTTGGTATATCACAAGATAAAGATCATCAAGTTGTTCTTGTAGATTCCGGTGCTTGCCCAAATGTATGGACACCACAAAATGATACGTCAGGTGTATCATGGAAGAAGAAGGAAGCGGCTCTAATATAGTCACCTCTTTGTTTATAATCAGCTCTACCTTGGAGTGTATTTATTTAATATTAGATTGTATTAACAGCCACTTAAAATCTGATTGAATTTGCTGAGAGTTTGATAAAAAATTATTTGTGCCCTTACGAAAGCCATTCCTATTTATGTAGGCTATTACTTTAGCCCATGTTCTAAGGTCAAAATGGTTCAAAGAAAACCTGTTCTAATATCAAGAATGTATGAAATGCCTTGTATGCTAATTATTGCTGATGTTGGTATGGCATTTGTGTTAGGCCTCTGTCATGGGAGAATGGTTTTTAAAAAATGATTAAAGTCGAGCATATTTATCTGAAGGAACATTATTACTGAACTCTGTTTACATAGGCAGCAACAAAACATTCAGTAATTTGAGCAAAAAAGTTGACTTACTATCTAAAAGCGGCTTCCAATTTCCAAAATACATAAGAAACGATAGCACAGTGCTAACCTGCAAATGATATCCCATCCTTAGAGACAGCTGCTCCATTTCATCTTAGGTCACAAATGAAGTGGCTTTGTGGAGATGAAGCTTGGTGTGTTGTGCCAACTCCATTTGCCCCCTTTTTTTCTGACAGCCACTCAATTGGGTATTCAGAATAGATTAGCTGGAGACAATAAAGGTCAAAAATGAAAGCCACATTAACAATTTTGTGTCAGGAAAGTCCAGGAACCAAATGTCACTAATATATCAAGCTAGAGAGGAAAACCAAGAATTCAGAGCTGAAATTGGGACCTTCATTTACTTGGACATGGCATCTTTTCATCCTGTAACTCGCCTGCACATTGTCATATGCTTGTCCCTGCTTCTGCAAGTGTGCTCTGTAGACCAGTGCCAGTTGGTGAATTGCTAATTATTCACAATGAAACACTGAGAGTAAACATTTGAATAAACATACTTACCTGGTGAATGAGACCATCTTTTCAATAGTAGTGATGATTACCATGTAATTTAAGAAAAAGATTGCAAAGCAGTGTCAGAAGATTTAAATTTTAATTGGGGTCACTGTCAACTACTCATTTCACCTTTATGGTCTCAGTTACCTCAAATGTAAAATGAGGACTGAAATTAAATCTCTGAGGTCCCTTCTATAATTAGCATTCTTTTAGTCTATTATATATTCTTTTGACTTTTTAATATTATTTTGTATTATTTCACCTTAACTTTCCCTTAATTCATTTACCCTTGAAAACCTCAGGCTGATGCCTGCAAAACATTACAAAATATCATGTCATAGCAAACACTGACATCATCATTTTGCTTAGTGTCTGTTAAAATAAGACTTGCAGAATATAAATAACCAAAGAAAACAAACTGGGAAAATGAGAATAAATCTTTGGCTCTGTGGAAAATATTCTGGTTACCAGAGTGGGGTAGAGGGAGGAAAGGTGCGGGGGGGATGGTGACAGAGTTGAAGTACTGGAGAGTTTGTGAAGGGTAAGTGAGGAAGGTATGCAAATGGAGGTGTGAAGTTATACTCTGAAATTTACATAGTCATGTAAACTAGTGGAAAATCAATTAAAAAACTCCCTGTAATGTTAGGGGATAGGATAGAAATTAATAAGCTACTTTATAGTTTTCATTTTAATACATTAGCATATGGACATAGTAAAATAATACAATACTCAACAAAAACACAGAGGAAATGGTAGGTAGGATCTTATCTAATTACCTTACTCTTTATATTTAACAGAAATACCTTCATGCCCTCTTTTACATATTTCCTCTACCAAGAGACACTAAATAAAAGAAGACATAGAAAGAATCTCTGCTCTCAAAGAATAAATCTCTACCAATGACTTAAAAAGCCTGCTCCTCCATTAAAATGTGTATTTGGGCAGATGAAGCCCTTCTACAGATGGAAACTCCAAAGTTATCCTTTGTTATGTGCTTTAAGAACTCACATGTTTACTTTCTAGCTAGGCCAACCTTATTAGATCCTCTTGCATCTTGGGAGTTCTCCAGGGTATGTATGAGCTCCTGGCAACATCAGCCTGCTGGATTCTAGGTTCTAGTGGGAGCCTTGCTTTTCTAAGTTGCTTCCTATACTCTGTTTAATAACTAGTATTGAAATCAGATAAAGGAGTATCTTATATTATGTCACACACATTCCTCCTCCCAAATGTTGTTTTACCTTTCAGCTTGACCTCTGCTGGTCATAGTATGTATGATTCCTTTAAGCATCCAGTCTTAATCTTTGTCAGCTGCTTATGCCTATAGCTGATATTAAACCTATTTCCTTTAATCCACCCTTATTCTTTTCTTGGTCGATACAGCCTCACTTCCATTCTAATCTTCTAGTCTTTTCTTCAGAACTGAAAACCATGGAATTGGAACATATAGGAGGAAATTGAGATCATCATGGCCAACTACTTACTCTCAGAATCATAATGGATCTTGGATTTCTGTTCATTTCACTGTCATTTTCACTACAGCACACATGTAACTCTGAAAATTCTTGAATACAAGGCAGATTCTGTTGTATATAAATTTATCTTCCAAAGAAGAATAAAGTTCTGGAAGACAGGAACAGATGAAGGCAAATTTTGCTTTATTATTATTTTTCAAAACCTCAAGCACATTGCACTACATATTGTAGCTGTTAAATATTTGATGAATTAAATTTGTATCATTCTTACAGTTTCTCCATCTTATTAATTTTTGCCTTTCCCTTCTATAAATTTCCTAATTTTTATGTTTGGGTTATAAAGATATTCAATTTTATGTGTTTAATAGGCTTTCTCTAAGAATCTTATTTAGCATTTTGCACATGCTAGGTGTTAAATAACATTTCTTTTTTATTCAATTTTCACATGATGTATCTACAGGCACCTCTCTGACCTTTGAAGAGTGCTAACTTACACTCAGCATTTAAAGGAACAGCTCTTTTGTTCATATTTGCAGTACATAGAATGAGCTTCTATTTCTTATAATCATTCCTGCTTGTTCTTTTGTCAGTGTTGCTGATTTCCACCTTCATCTTCCTTTTGAATATGTGTGTTTGTGAAAGCATGTGTTTTTTTCCCAAATTCAATCTTACTTTAAATGCTTTCAGTTCGTATTTGTTTGTGTTTGCATTCTTTGCATTATTTTCTCTTCTCTGACATCAGCATTACCTTTAAATCAAGTGCTATTTTCAATTTCCAGTCATTCATGTATACAGTGATGAACTTTGTAATACCCTCACTACAAAGATGCCAGAATGCTTTTTAGTCATTTGTGATATACTTTTGCTAACCAATAAAATAATAGCATCAACTTCAGATTGACTTTTAATAAATTAGAATTTTTAATATCTATTTCATATTTTTTAAATCAGCTATATGAGTTGTCCTATGTTGACTTTTTATGTGCTTATAATTCTGTTTACCATAAAACTATCAGAAATGATGTCCACCATTTGTTCTTCTCAAGATAATATTGCTTACCTGTCATCTTAATGTTTAATATTGTTCTCTATGAACATCTGTTCCTTTAAAAAAAACTGCTTAAATCAGCCTCCAAAATCATTCTCTTTACCTATTATGAAGAATAGTTCCATTCACCCATTATGCTACATCTTTTAGATATACATAGAATATTCTTGTTTTCATATCTTTGTAAAACATCAAATTCAATCCCTGCAACATCAACTATCAAGTCAATGTACATTAGATATCCAGAGCCACTGATTAGTGTCCAAATTTTCCAATTACTCCATTCTTTGCTTTTATGAACTGTTTTTGCAGAAACATAATTATATCCTAATCATACACAGTAATTGTTTTCTTATTAAAACAAGATTTAAGAAATTAGTTGAGTCTCTCAGCCATTTAGACTTATCATTGTCATATACCTTGTTCATTTTTGATGCCATTCATTCAATTATTTTCTCCCTCCTTCTATCCCTATAAGGTTTTAAATATACTTTTTAACTTTAACTATTCACACCTGTCCTGATGTCTTATTTTCATACTGTTTTTTTTATTCTAAGTTATAGTACCTTACCACCATAAACAGTGCCTTAATAATGAATAAAGAGAGAATATCCAGGATCACTATCACCATATTAGATTTAAATCCTGGCTCCTCCAGAGCTCCTGATGTGGACTCAGTGTTTGCTCAAGGATTCAATCACTTTGGACCTGATTTTGATGCATACACCATCTGTATATACTGTCTATATCACCTACTCTCTAGATCCAATAATCTGCCCATTCTCTCCAGTCCACAGAATACCCACACAGTCTTGTTATTGAGTATTTTCCAAGCCTAGTTCCATGAAAGTACGGGCACACCAGGATTCTCTTCTTCCAACCAGTTGTACTTCCATTTGCCTTTCTACTTTTCACTTCCTCCTAACCTTCACACTATTCATCCTTTTAAATAACTTCTGTTCTCTTACCCAAACTTTGTCTATCCTATTAGACAAAAACATAACAAATCCTCTGCTTGGTCATGGTATTTCCAAGTTGTTTCTAGTGGCAATAGATATATAAGAGTTTTAGTAACTAAAAAACATGCATGTAACCTTTTGGAATTTAGTAACAGGAGTTGACCTCTTGTTCTCTTTTTCATTCAGTCTATCTGCCATATCCTCCCTTCATGCCCAGCACAAGAAAAGAAGGAAAACTTTAGCTGGATTCATCAGCATAAAGTAAACTCAACAAGATAGTAACATTGGGGGCAGAATATCACAACCTTAAAGCAGGAAAGAGAGTCATAAAATAAAATCGAAGTGTGAGGGGTGGGTGAGGAGAAGCTTCCAGTAAATACTTTCAGTGACAATACCATTACCCAGAAATCAGTACCTTTTAAAAAATGTATCAGGGGCCTCCCCTGGTGACGCAGCGGTTGAGCGCTGGGCTGCACCTCTGCAGCGCCGGTTTGTTCCCCCGCCACTGGCGAGGTTCCCACAAAAATAAAATAAAATAAAAAATAAATAAATAAAAAATATATCAGTGTGACATATGTAAATTTAAATTTCAATGTAGATACATTTCATATTTCATGTATTTTTACATTTCACTATTCATTTAATGAAAAGATTAACAATGGTATCTTTAATAGCATACTTGCATACCATTTCAAATGTGACTATTTACAGAAACTTTATTAAATAACATTTTAGGAGTATGGCCCTAGAATAAAGTAAGGTATATGAAGAATGTAATTATTCAGAGAAATAGGAAATTGTGAATCAAAATTATGAATCAAGAAAGTCACTTATTGGATGAATCATATTTGCGCAAGAATGTTTCTGAGAGATTCTGGGAAAGAAAAAAGATTCAAGCTGATAAAGGGAAAAGAAAAATATTTAGACCTTTACTTGGAGCAAAGTAGGTGATTATCTTAGGTCAAGTTCCTTAGTCACAGTGCCTGAGACAGGACTTCAGGAGTATGTTATTTTTTTTATTTTTTTTATTTTAACATTTATCATTTTTTATTATTTAGGAGTACTCCTTAGGAAAAACCTGAGGAAAGAAGATTATTGAGGAATATTCCTCAGGAAAGAACTAGGATAAGAGAGGGGAAAGAGTGAAGAAGAATATTGTCTCCAGAAAGCTCTTGACTTGTACTGATGCAGGGTGAGGTTCTGGTTTGTGAAAACCCTGCAGCAGTATCCCTCTTTGAAACAAAATAGTTAGGATTTTAAAATCCTGAATCAGCCTTTCATTAATCACTTGAGAGCAGATAAATTGAAACCCAAGAATTTCTGGACCTCTTGGCTGCCAGCCACCAAAAATTCTGCAGAGAAGGCCAGATGTAAGCAAGCAGCCATCCATAGTTCTCACAGCAGCTGGGAGACAGGTTTCCCTTCTGGAAAGTGAATCTGGACTACTTAAGACATCTATTGCAGTAATCAATAAATATGTATTAAGTGATGAAAAGCTGAGTATGTCCCAAAGCAATTTTGGACTCTAAACCAGCTTCCCATCTTATAGGAATTGGATATTTTCCAATTTTTTTCTGTATGACAAAGAATCTTATACAATATACTACACATACTATACAGTATACTACACTGATTAACCTCTGGCTTAATGAGTGTCATTTTGTAACCCATATTAAGTAGCAAGTAAATATAAACTACCAAGTCCCAGAACATAGCCAGTCGAGGCATAGTGAAAGAGGTTTGCTCTTAGTATTGTTCTCATTAGCAGCATAAAAGCAACAAGGTTCATTAGTAACTAGATGGATAAGACTATAAACAAAGTAGGCAGATATACCAGCATAGCACAAACAGTGTAGAATGTCTCTATAGTCTTGAGCAATAATGGGGCAGGCAACTGACATCCAAATATGATTTAGTCTCTCTAGGTAGACCCATGCAGGACTTCAAATGGTGGGAGGGTGAAGACTTGATTTACTGATCCTATGGAAGTTTTCACAAACACCCAGGTGACAATAAGCAAGAATTCTGTGTTAGCTCTTCACCTGGACATAGATATCCAGCCCCTGATAGCAGCAATATCTATGAATTCAAATTACAAGACTATTAGAAAGTTACTTGTTCAAGAATGACATCAATAACATTTGGGTGTAAGGATGATAGACTCTCACTGGAAATGATACATAAAACGCTGTTTGCATTATTTTAACACAGCAGATTTCAAATGTGTTTAGTCTTCAATATAACCATGATTTTTTTTAATCTGATTTTCTAGCATATTGAAAAAATGTATGCTACTAAATGATTGCATAAATTTTACTTGTAATCCTGCCCTTAGATTTTCGCAATGACAAAAGTTTTGCTAAATAGAATTTTAATTGTGGACATTTATTTTCTAGAGACTCTGAGTATCTCAGGAAGAAAAGTTAGTTGTGAGCAACACAAACTTACACAATAAAGGGCAAGACAAAAATTATTGGAAATTGGCAGAAATAAATCTTTGACTTGGAGAAAAAGTTGAACAATATATCCTTAGTCAGGCAAAAATAAGACAATTCTTAAGCAGGACTCTCTCTGTA